TGATACGTTGAAGAGATTATTACACCCACCACACCAACACCGCCACGCGGAGGGCGGGCGCGGGGAGAATGGGGGGGTTGGAAGTCCGCACATTTTCAAGTTGCTATGGTGGCAAAACACTGTATTAGACTGTTTTCTCTCCTTCAGAGAGTAAATATACATGTAGTTAGCAAGCACTGCCACATTTATACCTAAGACTGCCCAAATGATTGCTTTTAGGACCAACTGGCTTGCAAACTTACCAAAACATCTTTTAATGTGGTGAAATAATGGCAGCTCTTCGGTTTTACTGTCTTTGATGCAACTTGGTGTCTTGAATTGAATATGGTCTTTTGGCTAATCCATAAAAACCTACTCCAAAGTAGCAGTAAGTAACAGAGTTAGAGAAGGGGCAAGAAAGGCTAGAAATCAGGGTGGGTCATTGGGCCTCCTAGTCCTAAATGAAGCCTATTTACTAATGCCTTGAGAATATCACCCTTGTGTGATGAGCCAACCAAGGGGTCAATACAATATCAGATCATGCTTCTTCCAAGAAGCCAGAAGACCTTTCCAACCCTCCACCCCAACCCTCAGTATGATACAAACATTCAACAGTTCAGGTCTACCTGTCACATCTATAGAACCATATTTGTTAAAATCATCTTATTTTATACTATTTGAACTAGCCTCAAGAACTAGCCCAAGGTGGCTACACTGTGTGTAAGACGTTGGTCCATTCACCTGCGGTCTTCTTTATATCTGTGTTTCAACTGTTTAAATGTTTAACCATTGTATTATGTTGTTTTATAATTGTTTACTTGATTGTTTTATTGTAGGCCGCTTAGAGTCACACATGTAAGATAGGCGACTACATCAATTTAATAAATAAATATATAAGATAAATGGGTGGCAAAAACTATACCGTTAATAATAAGATCAGAGTCAGTATCCAACTTGGCAAATTATGTAACCCAGAGCATTTTTCACTAACATCCACAAGTGAATTAAGTCAGTTACCCAGCAATGACCATGTATTTCCCAATCTCAAGATTAGTCTTCTGAGAACCCCTGAGATAAAACGGAAAAAGCTATTTAGAGGCAGAGTCCTGAGAAGCTCCCGGCTTACCAGTATTTATCTAACCATTGTTCTCAGTTTATTTCCACGTTTCCTTTCATGAAAGGACATTTAGAGGGCAGGGAAGTTGAAAAAGAAGAAGAAAAAGATTGCACACAGGACAATTACAAAAACTTCCAGCCAGATCTTGGCCACTGTGCCTTCAGATGGTTAGGACACCTTGTCAACAAAGGCCAAAAGTGCAAGAATTCTCCCCAAAATATGACCAACAGAACATAACCCAGAACTGCTGCTCTGCTGAAGATGGAGCTAGATCAGAACAGCACCAAATTTTAGTTGTATCGCTTCTCGTTTCTAACCATAATGTTCCTGTTTGGGGCAGGGGGGAGACTAGATGATCTTCATGGTACTTTGTAACCCTGTGGAGTCCTTGGTGCTCTCTGAGCTTGGTGGTTTGCTTGCAGACGTTTCACTGCCTGACTAGGTAACATCATCAGTGCAATGATGATGTTCCCTTATCTGTTACCTAGCACTGGTGTTCCCTCACCCTGATGATGTTACCTAGTTGGGTAATGAGACATCTGCAAGGCAACCACCAAGCTCAGAGAGCACCAAGGACTCCACACTTCAACCCTGAGCTGCAGAGATTCTCTTCTACTCGTACTTTTTAACCCCTATATCCTCTGCTTCCACAACTCTTTAATGCCTGGCCATGCTGGAATAATCCCTGTTCAAAATCAGATGCTGACAATATATATAAAACCCGTCAACCAACAAACGCTCTCCGTCTTTCTTTCGGGGAAAGTCACAAGTTCCATTTAATGAACGTACCTCTGTCCTTTCCGTCTTCGTAACTCTCATTTATACATGCAGGAATCCCTAGAGGGACCGCCCTGCACATGATTCTCTGATCCCTCTATGACACGCGCATTCACACCAAGCCAGCAGTTCCAAACTCTCCTTCACCAGAAACGCACACCAAGCCCACTCACCCTGGAAACGAACTAGGCTAATTTCAGGTTAACGGAGCAGGTTAACGGAGTTTCCTAAATACAGCCCCAGTCCCACATGGACTTGTGACCTCCTCTGTTCTGTTCATACCATGCACCCTGTGCTCCAACTTTCCCACACACAGCTGCATTCCCACCACAGGTTTAAAGCATGCTGGGGAAGCCTACAGGCTATAATGCTGGCTGGGGCATTCTGGGAGCTGAAGCCCACCCCTCTTAAAGCATGCTGGCTGGGGCATTCTGGGAGTTGAAGTCCACCCCTCTTAAAGCACGCTGGCTGGGGAATTCTGGGAGTTGAAGTCCACCTGGCTTAAAGTTGCCAAGGTTGAGGAACCCTGCAATACACCAAGCCTGGCCAGCATTAATCTTGGTTAGGTGGTTTTTCCCTCCTAGGCTAAGGTACTGCGTGGACCACCCGCCCACGCAGCGAGGGGACACCAGGACTTCTGCAAAGGTGTCATTCAGGAACCAGGTTAGGCACATCCCACGCCAGGCAGGACCTTGGGACGCCGGCTGAATGCAAGGACCACGTTGCGCAGGCGACCAACCCAGCGAACGGGCTGGGTCGCCGGCCAGCGGGGGCCACCCCCGCAAGCCCC